TACATTCGAAATTTTAAAAATACTTGTTTTAAATTCTTGTGGAACGCATTAGGAATAAAATGTGTGACTTTTATGTAAATTTTCAATACTAACGGAATGAGTATGAAATCATGTTTGAATTACAAGTGGTGTTTGGTATTCGTCTCGAAATAGTAGACCAATTAGAAATTTTCATTTTAAAGATTCAAAATATCTTGTACCTTATTGGTTCTAATTTAACTCGTTGACCGTCGCGTTTACCTTTACCGTCATTATAGACACGATTAAAGAACAATAGGTTGCGGTCACCGGTGTCCTCGCGGTGTTTGACAGTTTAAAATAAATTTCCAAAAAGGAATGAATACATAATCAGTGTATTTCGGATTACTCCAAGGGACCGTTTGCGTCCTCGTCGGTATGTCCAACAACCTTACAGCACTCATAATAAAGTTTATTATTCAAAGTGACCAATGGGACTTACCACTGCCTCCATTTGATAGACTACACATAGGTAGTTTAATTGATGGATAGTTACTTAATTGGTCCTTTGGCGATGGTATTCAGTGTTATCTTCTTCAATAATCCAGTGCAGAGAAACTTGCAGTCTTCATATGTCTTTTAAATTCCTCTTATCATTGATATCTTCTGATCTATGTTGTTCCGAGATCCAAGACAGTTATTCATGTCCTAGGGACGCGCCGGACTTCAGTATTCCGGTGTTTTTATGGTTGTATCTATTTTACATCCTGGCTCACAGGAGTTGCAGCGGTTTTCGGAGGTTGTGGCTGGCTTGTCCCATAAAAATGCCTTTTAAAGTCCTGAATGTCTCGATTCGAAAAGGAAGCAAAAGGACTTATATCTAAAATCTGTTTCTGTGTTTCTTTTCAGATTATTATAATCTATAATAGTCTGTTGAGAAATTCCGAACATCCGAACTCATCTAGGTTCAACTGATTTTAAAGAATCAGCGAGAATTCCTTACTTCTCCTATTTTATTTTCTCGACAAGGATATAATCCACTATATTTTTCCGTTTCCCTGCCCGCATGCAGTTGCGGTTTTGCAATGCAAATATTTCTCGGTTTAGCAGGAGCAGAACACTAATTCTGTAGAAAGCTCGCATTTTAACGTTTGCGCGGAGGGAAGGATTCTTGTTTGTGGGCGCACGTGGCTACAAAACTACGGATACAGGATTTCATAGAGTTTCTAACATTTAAATTAACAAAGGCAGACGAGTAATGTTGCCTATCTGTCGATTTTGATTGAAATCGAACAACCGAAAGGCATTTGCCTGTATTTTTGGAGATTATCTTTAACTCGTTGAGGTAATTAATAAGCTAGCTAATTAATAAAGTTTATTATTCAAAGTGAGCAATGGGACTTACCACTGCCTCCATTTGATAGACAATTACACATATGTAGGTAGTTTCATTGATGGATAGTTACTTAAACTGTCAAACACCGCGCGGTCACCGGTGTCCGCACACCTATTGTTCTTTAATTGTGTCTATAATGACGATACTCAGTCTTTCTTGTGCGAGAGCCATGATTTATTATGAATGCGCCAGCATGACCGGAGTAATATGGCTTGCGTTGTATCCATGTGAGTGAGGTTACTGAAACCCCAAACGCCCGCGAAAGAGGTCGTCAACAAACTTGTAACTTATTTGGTGTTGAAAAAAATGTAATGGACCTTCTGCATATTCTGTACATCAATACAGCGATCAGTATGCAAACTATGTTAATTACCTACCTGCCTAATGTTACATTGTTTATCATTTTAATTGTTCTCCTTTATCAGTGACTCACGTGGGAATTCGTTACACATTATTATGATCGCTTGTATAATCTCGTCCGTCCTGTAATTCAAGGCTTTGTTTTAATTTTGAATTAATAATTAACCTTGGGTAACCTTTTGAATCCCTTTTTCGTCGGACATCGCCTGTTTGGTGGCATTCTGCTGTAGTATTCTGACCACAACATTAATTAAACTTTGTGAGGTTGCGCCGATATTTAGTTAAAGAAATATTAATTAACCTGCTTTGTACCTACAGCGTGGACGGGACTGATGAGGTGTTTAGAGATTTTGATTTTGTATTTTCAGTACTTTGTAGTTTGAAATGTGCTTGGGTTTGTTAATAGCTTTACTTCCTGACTGATCAGAATTGGCTTTTTTAACTGCTTTAGGTAATCCGTTCGAAATTTTGGTATTGGTATTGAAAATAATAATAAATTTTCAAGAATTTTCCAAGCTTATTGTACTATCTAATAATGAAATGAATGTAACGCGTAATCAGATCATCTGATCATCTTGTGAACAGTCAAAATAATGTAATTAAAACAAATAACATTTCTACCTTGATTAAGGTAAATTAAAACGACATCAAAATATAATTAGTTAGAGTATAATTAATGTAAACGCCTGTCAAAGAAGGCATAGCAACGAATCGTCCTAAATCAAGTTGCTATTAATGTTTTACCTGCGTAGTGTGTTACGAAACTTTCTTTTTTTTCTATGAAGCTTTTACAAAGTATTGATTTTACTGCGTACTATGACTATCTTAGTACGGTGTCTGGTTGTTTGTTAATGGGCAACGACCTGAAGGCTTAACCAATTTGTCTATTTGTATTTGTCAATTAGGAGGTGGGGGAAATATGATACCTTGATGTACTAAGGATGGGGATTGCGGATCGTCATCGATAAAGTCACATGGTCAAAAAAAACATTTGTGTTAATTCTGTCATCATAATCAGGATAGCAATCACAAGACAGCTACTGTCTCCTCCTATAATTTCTATATTGGCCGGTTGGAAGCGACATGCATTCAGTCTTTTGCCAACCAGGTTTTTCGCTACTCCCAGTTTTACCAACTACTTAAGACTAGTCAATTTGTCAAAGAGGTTGTAACACACAATGGAAACTTTGGACTCTTTGTTTCTGAATGGAAGTTCATTTCATCAGCTTTATCGATTATAATACATAGATGGCCACTTGCCTAAGGTTATTTGTCGTAACATACTAATTAACTAGATAACGCTTCAAAGAATGTTAGGTCACGTAGAAACAATATTTATCTTCGCACCACAAGGGCGAAGAAAATAAATTGATTCTCAAGTACCCTCCAGGGAAAATTCCACTTCCCGATTGATACTTATTATAAGTGAATTATGTCAGATTGGACTACTTAAATGTTCTGAAGATTTTAATTAAGTTTAATATCAGATAAAATACGTTTACTTTTTACTCTAAAGTTGTAAAAAGGTTTTTTTTATATTTGCGATCGGAAACTCGCGTAGAGTTTTGTGGATTTAACATCAATTCATGTCCGGAGTGATTAAGTTGTTTATAGGCGAGTTATGTTTCTGCCACCGACAGAGGGTGCAAATGAAAACTATAATCATTAAACTAAGTTTATTATAATTAAAATTACATGGTAACTCCTAAAATCTAACTAACCTAAAAGCGAATGCGTTCGATGTTAGAACAACACTGCTTTCTTATCTTAAAATTCTTTATTATAAAATTAGTATGAAGGTTTTATTGAGGTTAAATCTAGTGGGGTGAACGATGATGCAGCGATTCGTAGCTGGGCACAAGGCGACGACAAGAAGACCCGACTCAGCAGTTCGAATGTTGCAATACTCCGTAGAACCTTCGTTGCATCAAATTAGGTGTAATGTTCTGATTCGGCAGATCTGGGCCTGGTGACACGGCGTTGATCACGGTGTAGGTACATGTGTCGGCACCGATACGTAACAGGCGTGCTCCATCGCTAGCCATCAAAACAGTAAGAGGCCAAAAGACTTATGAATTACAAGAAAAATAATACATTGTTCTCACAAAAGTTCCAAAATTACGAAACCATTTTCATTTCATCTGGATTCCTTCAAATGCATGATAAACAATGATCCTCGTGTTTGAGAAATTCTCAAAATGTAATTGAAGCGTTCCAAAGAGGAAAGTATAAAGTAACAGATAATTTCTAAGACGAAATAAAGCAAAAACGCTCGCAGCTTTGTGACTCACAATCAACGAAAGAACTTCTAAAGGGAATTTTTATTACAAAGAAATAATATGGATGAATGTTTCCCAAAGTTGAAGCTAAAGACGTTGGGTGACTTGTTGAAAGTTTGATTTGATAATACGACAGATTACATTCATGAGCCTGTCTAGTCTAGACTCCACACCGAAGTTGAACGTACATTAATGTCATTGCAAGTTTGAGGGTCATAACTCTTAGTTTAGGACCCCTCGGCGAACAGTTCCACAATCTGTCATGTATTCACAGGAACAAGTTGTAAACGAATGCTTTATAGCTAACGTGACCTTTGGAAACTATGGACGGCTCTGCAAAAGGTTAGCGGAGTTCAAAATTAGATTTCGGGAAGTTTGTTTTCTTTGAATTTGTGCGTTGTTTAAGTTTCCCAGTGGCCCCAGTATCGAGCTGTTTTGTAATATTGTGTTCTGTATGGCATAGGTGGAGCCGTTTGGAAAATGGGCCTTATTTTCTCCTGGAATAAATACTGGTTTTGGATATACATTCCTGAGTAAACCTTTATTTATTTGATCCTCGTTTTGGTATGAATCTGAAACGTAGGCCTTATCTTCGGTTGGTGGATCGAATGCATGGAAAACTCTTTTTCTTTCCACTGCCTCAGGGTCTTTCCTGATTTGAATCGTAATATTTTGCGCGGAACTGATAAAGGGATATAATGAGACGCCATTTTGAGTAAACTTATTGTCTTACCTTTTTTAGAAAGATCTGCATTGTGCATATCTTCGTAGAATAACTGAGATCTGTAGTCTTGTGAACTTTAGGTAATATTCACTTACTTGTTGACAAATTAGCTTGGTGAATTCAGATAGATGAAAAAAAGACGATACACAAAGTAATGTGAAAAGTTCGGTAATCTGTATCCTCTTCGCCTCATTTATCCATTTTGATTCTTGAAAACCTTATACTTCCCGCAAGGAATTCCACAAAAGCAGTTACGCGACCAAATTGGAAGATATATGGCTAGCTTTATAGCTTTGGTGAAGAAACGTCTCCTAAAAGTTTTGCGATTACCTCGTAACTTAAGTGATTAGGCACACATAGCCGTCAAACTGTCCAAACTGAACATTCTCGTGGACTATCTTATCAATCCATCATTTGTGTCATATCTCACTCCGTGCGTTATCGATTTATCAGCATATACTGCTCTACAATTATAAACCTTATCCTTTAACATTTAAAATGTAATATTACGTGAACTACAAAGCTTTTGGGACAACTAAACATTACCCAGGTGTGTTGGCATCGTTAGTGTCAGTGGTGTCATTTTGTGAATTCCTGTCGTGTGAGTTGAAATTAAAATGGATTTAGACGATATTGAAATCAACGAAAAGTAAGTTTGGACTTTGTTTGTCTGTTTTGTGTGATGAAAGGCGAAAGTCGAGTTTATTGCGAGGTCTTTGTGATGTGTGTATTGTGAGAAATTAATGGCGCGTTGACGTGAATTGAATAAGGTATCGATATCTTCATTATTGTTGGACAAAGGAGACTTTATTTCTTTTGCTTTCTACTTGAAACGGTTCTTAACACTTGGTAGAATTGATTTTCTCAGTTATATTGCTTAAAGTTTTTTAATATGTGGATGAAATCAGACACGCTATTCAAAAGGTTCTCCAAAATACGTATGTTGAAGTGGTGGATGTGGTTGAATAATAGATAATAGCTTGTTACATTTCGTAGTTTTATTATAAATCACACAGAAAGCACATGATGGGCGCCATGCAGACGACAAAAGGGAAGAACACAGATGACATATCGACGTCTATGAGAAACTCGCCAACTTGACACTAGATGGCGCTACTTATATTATTTAACTTAAGATTATAATATTTACCTTATTACAACAACGTAGTCTGACAGATTTTATTCATATGTAAAACAATCACTGCGGTGAGGTGTACTAGTTTTTGTAAACAACATGACCTCAACACCTGCACGACAATAATGTGACAATGACCTTAATTTTGTGGAACGAACACGTTTTGGCGAACGGCAAATTAACCAATATGTCATGTCTTTTTTTGGCTTTACCGAGTGCGGTAAAGCCGTAAGATTTGATACAATAACAATCCACTGATTGATCCACTGAATCTTACGGTCAATTTCGCCAGACTCTTAATAACCTACCAGATCAATTTACTAAAGAAACTGAATTGTTATGTTCTATCGATCTGCCAATATTCGACCATGGTTTTTCAATAATAATATAATAATATTCACAAGCCTTTCTTAAGAATTACTTCTCTATCTTCAGATGAAAACTTTATTACAACCCATTTAGTAGTTATCATAAACAGAAAGGCTGATGCCACTGACAACTTTGTTTTGAAATATTTGAAGATTGTTTCGATATCCATCCTTCAATCGACGACAATTCCTTCGATCGTTTTCTATAAACAGTACCTATTATCGTTCTATTCAAGGAATTTGGATTATTGACCAATTAAGGACAATACGCTCTGCATTACACGGGACTTATCGGTAATCTGTTGTAATCTGGTACGATTCGGGTCAGTAAACACCTGTATATTTGTTCCTTTGGGCGATACAAGTTATTATTGTTATTCGAAGCTGCTAGAAAGTATTGGGAATCAACAGCAGTCCATGCCTTGACCCAGTTCTTCAACTGGGTTGCCACTATTTATATGCAGTTTATTTAGGGCAGAAGGGATTAGTCAAAATCTGCATTCAAGTTATCTGTGCTTAATATGTATTTTAGCTTTTTGGTGATAGTCAGCTCAGTTTGTGACGTTTTAAGACAGGGGTTGCTTGTGGATTATTGATGAGCAACAGGCAATTTGTCAATTTGGTTGTTTTCTTTCAGAATGTCTCTGTTAGGATATTCATGACCTATGTTTATGTTTTAATAACCATACTAATTGAAAGCATGAATCAAATACAATGCAGTATTGATTTACGTTTAGGTTACTTAGGTGTTTTAGCGTTTTTTGATGTTTTTCATGTTATTAGATTTTGATTCTTGTGTAATGGAGAAAGTTTACAAAAATTGTCAGTTTTACTGATCTGCTTAACCTTTTACATTATGATATCCCCCAGTTTTACAAGAATTTTAACTCCTTCGTTCAAGTCGTTGTTTCACCAGGCAGCGTGCTCTTTCGCTTTATTTAGATTAAAACAGATTTATTTGCGAAAGCCATTATTTGTGTTGTTGATATTAACAGGAGCTACTTACTCGGGTGCCCGTACAAAGCTCAGCCCTCCAGTGTGTTTACACTATAAACATGGAATGTTATATTTTCGTCGACTTCCACTGCCGACTGGTTTGGTCGAGTCGTAGTATGACTGCTGAGCAATAGATCTTGAGGTTAATTCGAACTGTGATCGAGAATTATCTAAGTTTTCTTTAATGGGACTTATGATTCATCTAGCAAATATTGAGGAATAAAAGGCACGAAGTTAAAAGTTTTGAATTCCCTATAACTAATTAGCGGTTTGGAATGACACAAGGCAATAATAATAAGGCTCGCCCTTTGTTGTATGAACTCAAATTGTATCATTACACTAAGTATTAGGATATTAAATTTTAACACCTTAACCTCTGTTATCTACTTCATACTTTTTTTTCTATAATTTTGCACCTACCGCTTTACCATTCTGCACCACCCAATGGTCGACTGTCAGAGAATGTCTACGGCAATAAAGTTTAGACAATAAAATAGTGAATTTTTCTGTTAATTTATCTACTGTTTCTCCAATTTCGCAATCCTTGAACCGTTTATTTTCTTGACTTGGCGAAGACTTATTTATAAGTTTCCAAACACACTCGTGATGAGAGACGTTTCTCTTTAGCGGCAGGTGGGGCTGGCCGTTTATTTTTGCCGAAGACCGCCTCGAAGCGTTTGAGGGATAATTATGAACGCGATAATTGTTGGCGTTGAGTTTGATGTTGTATACAACCATATTTCATACGAGTATACTTTAAAGCACATTTGGTTCACTTTAGTTAAGTACTTGTACCTATTTTAAACCTTCGAGATGAAAGACTGAGATGTCGTCTATAATTTTTTAAACATAGGGCGCACCAGAATTTTCTCCTGAGTGCATTTCCAAACACACATGTTTTGTTTTTTAAAGTTATGTCAAAATAAGGAAACCCTTAGGATTCTCAACTGCACAACTCCTCAACGACTTAGAGCTTAGGTATCGTGTTTGGGCTCACTGTAATGTTCTCGATGTATACGATGTAGAAAGATAATGGCCATTTGAACAAGTTTTAATGGGAAGCTTCCTGGGCGTAGTTTTAAAGCTTTTTACCTAACCCTTGTATTTTTGTTGCAGTGAGCAGCCGATATTCACGTGCAAGGCCCACGTGTTCCACATAGACCCGAAGACCAAGCGATCATGGATGTCGGCCAGTTCTGCAGCCGTCTCCGTCTCCTTCTTCTACGATTCCTCAAGGAACCTGTACCGTATCATCAGCGTTGAAGGAACTAAGGTATGTGGCAAGTAGAAAGATGGTTGTAGACGTATTGGAGGCATCACAGCATGTGATTTGAAAGGATCGTAAAATGTTTAAATTCGGCTGTCTTCTTTTGGACAGGTAACGCGTTTGATGCGTGGGAAGTAGGTGACTTCTTCGCATCAAAAATTTAATATTGAAATCTCTTACATTTTTTCTGGTATTACAAGATGTCGTTAAAACAAAATAAACATTGAAGAAAAATGCAGTTTACATGCAACAAAAGCCATTCATTTCCACCAACAAAATTTGTTGTACGCAAATAGGCGACATGTCTTTATTTCAAGCAATTCACACCTACAAAGTTTCCCAGAAAATTATTCGTACTTTATGTTCGCACGGCATCAATGAAAACCACTTAATCAAGGTATCCTTAGAGACGATCAAAATTACGTAGTGCTTAGTAATTCAGGGCTTATCATTGTTGAACACGGCTCCCAAAGGAGGCTTAATTCGATTAATTTCAAAACAATAACCCATAAAGTTAGGTTTAAATCGTACTATGAATAGTATTAATGTGAACGGAAAGGTGTTTGTTACGGTTCTAAGCCGAAAATGAATGAGAAATTGGTTTTGATTGACTATGGGTATTGGATTGTCTTAAATATCTCGTAGTACATTTCATTTATGCATGTCGAAATTCTAAAAGTCTCTATGAAATGAAAAGTTCTACGTCTTCGTTTAAAGTAAATCTCTTGCCTCATGAACGGTACCATAATGGTGGGAAAGAACTACTAGGAAAAGTGCAAATGGTAAAATGATTGTTTGAGATCTTTATTGAAATTACGAATGTTTGACTGCAAGTTTTTAACGACTAGTACGCCATACTACTAAAGGAGATCATTTCGCCTCCATACATTTTTGGGATTTTACTGAAAGTCCAGCCAACGACAAAAAAATGATATATACGTATCGTTAGAACCTTAGAATTTGGAGCAATAGTTAATATGGCGTAAAAGTTAAAAGTAGTGAGTTAAAAGTTGACGTATGAAAATGATGAATCTTCGAACTGGTATAACTTCATCTTGGATCCTACAACATATTTTACTACTTTCAGAAAAGTCCCAAATAATGTCTTGATAGCAAAAAAAAGCACGAGCTTAAATAGATAAATATTTAGCACAAATAAAACTAGAATTAAAGAAAAACGGGTTCAACTAACGAATCCGCGTCCAAAAGTAACTCCCGAAATAAGTGTAGCAAAACGAATGAGTTTAAAGTGGAGTATTGTCTGGCTTGTAATTGGCTCTCAGTATTCTGGGGCGGCTGAGTAAATACTCCATTTTCAAAGTACCCGCATCCTGGGGGTACGGATTTAACCGAAATCGTGAACGACTGTTTACAACTACCCTCCCGGTATACTCCTTCCCATATAATGGAGGTTTATGCTAGTTTTCGTGTAGTTTGTCTCTAAATAAAGGGAAATGAAGTCGGATGCCTGTTTGATGTAGATATTTAATATCTTAAGCGACTGGGTTGTAGAAATGGTAATCGGATAATATCTTGCTGTGGTCTGGTACAAGATTTTATACGCATGAATGTTTGAAAGAAAAATGTTAAATAAATTGCCTTGTTAGCAGAGTGATCATGACGTAGGTGTCTACGATTCCGTTGATTGGACCCTGACTTCGGTGTCTTTATAATAATTATATCCAACTAGCTTCTGCCCGCGACTTCGTACGCGTAATCCCATTTTTCCCGTCCTCGTTCGTGATTTTCGGTAAAAAGAAAAAAAAAGTATTGGTTAAAAAGTCCTATGTCGGTCTCCTGGCTCTAAGCTACCTCCCTACCAATTTCCAGCCAAATCTATTCTGCCGTTCTTGAGATATAAATGGTGTAACTAACACGACTTTCTTTTATATATATAGAAGATTTTTTAACTTTAGCAGGTACGTAAAAATCATTATCTTTCTTGCTGTTTGCCCATTATAGATGCTCGTTTGCTCGTTTCGTTTTCGTGAAGTTTCTCTCTTATTTCTTCAGTAAAAATGTTATTGTTTACACATTCACTAAAGTACACGCTACACCCATTATCATTAATTATGTTATTGTATTATTAAGAGATGTTATGACCACATACATAATTTACCTTGCGTCCCGCTAAATAAATAATCCGGTGTCCGATCAACAAATACATTGTTCGACTTTGCTAAATATTTCGTCAAACGAATAGTTGGATATGGTTTTTGTGTTAGGGATTTTATTGCATTCAAATATTAGGTCTATTTAGTGTTGATCGTCTATTAAACCTGCCATCTTTAAGTTCTTAATATTGACACATAACATCACGCATTTTAGCCCCGAAGGGGTAGGCAGAGCTGCACATTATGCCACTGTTCAATGTAACATTCACTTTTCACTATTTATGTTATGAGTCCCATGTAATAGGATGTGAAGCTATTGACTGTCTTGATGGCCGAGTGGTCGCAAGTGCGACTGCCGGGCAAGGGGTCTCGGGTTTGAATCCCAGGTCGGGCAAAGTATTACTGGGTTTTTAAAAAAAACTCAGTAATAGCACGGAGTCTGGTAATGTGCCCGGTATATGGCAATAGGCTCACCCCCTATTACATGGGACTCATTACATAAATAGTGAAAAGTGGGTGTTACTTCTGTGTGCACCTCTGCCTACCCCTTCGGGGATAAAAGGCGTGATGTTGTGTTGTTGTGTAATACTTTGCCCGACTCGGGAATCGAACCCGATACCCCTTGCTCGGTAGTCGCACTTGAGATCACTCGGCCAACGAAGCAGTCCAAAAAAAGTCAATATCCAAAGGTGTCAGCAGTATATAGACCTTTGGATAATCTAACCAACAAAAATATGTGTACCTATTTGTGTTGTCATGACAATATGTATGGGAACTTGTATCAAATTTGCCATTTTGATATTTAGAACATGTACAGCATTTTGATTAGTTGTCAACATCCCCATTAACTATCTAAAGGAGGTTCTAACACAGATATTGAATCAGGCCACACCGTCACACGACGAGCGCCTCGACTCGCTAATTCCCTCGGTAGACATTAGACAATATTGTATGCAACACAAATGAAGTGTATGCGTATAGGATTACTCATGAATTTCAATGAGCAGCTAATTGCTTTAGGTACCTATTGATGTAGTTTGACATGCTTGATGAGAAAGCCATGCTATGGCACGATTGGGCCAGCTCGACTAGAGAGATTTTTTTTAAGGGGGAAAATCATCGAATGACTGCTCCCGCCTGGGTGAGGCGGGAGGGAGTGTCAGACTCTTACTGACTAAAAACCACCCTGTTCCTTCTCCTGCACGTCGAGCCGGAGCCCCGGTTACCCGTTAGGTTCTCCGCGACCGACTAGAGTGATACGATCCTACTAATATTATAATTGCGAAAGTTGGTGAAGATGTATGTATGATTGTGTGTTTCTTACGCTTCCACGTCAAGACGGTTAAACAAATCGAGATGAATTTTGAATCAGGGGTAGATCATGGTCTGGAATAACACATTAATATGGCCTTTGTACCCCACGAGAACGCGGGCGAAGCCGCTGGCAGTAGCTAGTCTTTCAACAGTATTGCGTTTCACCATGTCGCTCAAAATGTCGGCGATGAACCTGCCTGTAACTAGTCTGGTGCTATAGATGTCTATGAGAGGAGTCGATCACTTACCATTGTCTATAATACAGTAGAAGTAATATTGATAAATTTTGTAACTAAATATTTAGAATGTTAAGGGTAAAATATTTAAATAGACAGCCTTACGATTGACCTCATTCGTTAATGTAAATAAACAATGTTTCTATTAAACTTATCAGTTACAATAGAACCTTGTTATATTGTTTCTGCTCTCGTTTCCTATATTCCGAAGCACTAGTTTCGATTCACAGCACGTCACGGATCACATACCTCTCCATACGCCGTGGCTAGTCAAAGGCTAACTTCGCAGTCGTATAGAATGGACGCGAAATTAAATTCTGTTCTCTGAAACATCGGTGTTCCAGTTGGATCCAAACAACGGGTTAATTGGACAGGATTGTTAGGTATGGACTAGTTGCGTTTGTTCTCCAATCAAATCGATGTATGGTAGCTTTGGTGATGGGTCTTTGAATTTTGTATTGATGGCCACTTCTTAAGCATTCTATCGGCGTTTCCCCGTAAATGTATAGTAGTAAATGAAGTTTTTTTTAATGGGACACATCAGCCGCAATCTTCTGAAACCGCTGCAACTCCTTTAAGCCAGGATCTACAGTAGATACAACCATGGAAACACCGAAACACTGAAGTACGGCGTTTCCCAGGGATATGTCTTGGGTCCCGTAACGAAATAAATTGTAAGATATTACTAAAGAAGAAAAAAAAAGAAAAAATCTCGACGAATTTAACACAGGAACAGAATGACATAAGTCTAAAGGCACAAAAGAGACTGTAGAGCTGGGAGAAGCCCAGTTGCCACATATAGAAAGTATATCTTTCCAGCCATATTTTAGTCTTATTATGTTAAGGGATATGATGTCCAAATATTCACCAATTTAAGATCTATGATTATTAATGAGTTTTGATCTCCAACATCGTAATATTTTAGAAGAAAAGTCCAGTTTTAGGAGTTAGGTAAACTTGAAACCCCGTACCTAATCGCTAATAGTAAAATGTCTTCCATAAACTTGATCCTCCTTGTTCGCCAACTAAAGATCAATGTAGGATTAAACAAGTAATATCCAAATTACTTCTTAATGTTTGAACTGAGATCCAAGCGGCTGTAATAGGCATTATCATAAAACTTTCCATATTACCTATTCAAGAGCTCGACAGTATCTTTGTAGGGGCCTTTAAAACGTCGAAACGTACCAAGTTTCCTAATCGAAGTTCCCCTTGCTTTAATAAATTCAAAGTTTCCCTCGGAAGAGTCGTGAGCTCGTGTAATATCTCACATATGTGTGAATAATAAATTCCGTACAAGTTTCTTGGAATTCTAGAAGTTTCTACGGATTCTCTCGTTGCTTGCATTAGTCTGATTCGCAAGTAATGCATTTTAGGGAACAGAGAGTAAAACTTTCTGCCCGCCAGGCACCTCGGCTGGTCGGAGGATCCTCCTTTTTCGATCATAGGGCACTTTAGCATCTATGCCAATGTGTCTAAGTACTGGTGTTAGATTCATCACCAACAGCCCGTGATAGTCCTCTGCTGGACTATAATACCCGTTTCCACGATCATCTCCTAAATTTGAAGGAGCCTAAGCTGAAATAGGTGACACTTAGCAACATATTTGTTTTCACCAACCTAGAAGTGACTCCTACTAGTACAGGTTAGAAGTTACTTTAGGAGCTTCATCACGCTAAATAACTCTTTTTTTTATGGGGGGAAATCCTCATGGACTGCCTCCGCCTGGGGAAAGGCGGAGGGGTGTCGGGACTCTTACCGGCTAAAACCACCCCAGTGTCTCCTCGCACGTGCGTGCGGGGTCACGGGAGTCCAGATTCATCCGCAGACGCTAAATAACTCTGAGCTAACCTCTTGTACATATGTTGAAAGTTGCGGGTATAATGTATTTTATACCGGGAACCGGTGTTTCAACAGATAAAAAGCTAAGAGGCAATTTAGTGGTGGTTGCGGAAAACGGCCATAAGTCTCCTTTACATAAAAGGATTAACCATAATCTGCATATTTGACAGACAAGGTAAAGATCATAGTTTGAAAGGTTCAGGTTTAGCACAGAGCATTACTGGTCGGTCTTTTTCAAATGTGAAGGTGGAACAGTTTGTCTTTATTAATGAAAATCATCGAGGGCGCCACAGGTCGTTAGTACCTACCAAATATAAAAACAAAAACCTGCGTTTAAAAAAGCCGACTTCAAAAACAAAAACAAACAAAAAGTAAAAACTAAAAAGCAAAAATAACTATTATTGGTCATCCGTACTTACATATAGCTTACACACCCACTGATAGGTGAGAAGTCGGTGAACATCATGACAATGGGACCAAATGACACACCTACCCTTTCAAACAAAAAATAATTTTTGAAGTCGGTTGACAATACAAAACAAACCTATAAATAAATGTGCAGTGTTAATAATTCTTATTTTAGACATAAAATCGTTTATTTTGTAGGGTTGTCACTTCTAGAAGATAAAATATAAACAGTAATACACATTAGACACTGTTCGAGCGAAAACATAATATTATTTGATAAAATTGATCCAGCTTCTTGTTCTATTAAAAATCAAATCACTTTATACTCGAAATACAATCAGTCCAGCTCCACTCCGAATTATTATTTTGTTTGTTTGTTTGAACGCGCTAATATCCGAAACTACTGGTCCGATTTCTTTGATTTGAAATTCTTTCTGTGTTAGACAGCCCATTTATCGAGGAAGGCTATAGGCTATAAAATATCACGCTACGATTAATAGGCGCCGAGCAGAGCGAGTGAAACGGCGTGGAAGTAGCTAGTGTTTAATAAACTTCTTCTAAGTTATATTTACTTAAATCGCAATCTAGTACCATTTTAACAAAAAACGATTCGCATAACAAACTCGATCATAGCTAATGACATTCAACGTACTTTCATTGGGTGTAGCCATAGTTTTAATATGCTTAGTTCCTCAAACATTCGTCGTCATTCTTAAATTGACAAACTATGTTATGGAACAAAAGTCATCAAAGGAACTTGATTATTTTCTCCTTTTAAGATGGATCATTATGGTCTTGATTCCTCTGGGTCTCTTAACGCTAATTAATCTATGTTCTTCCTTGTTGGTTTCTTATACGCATAAGCGTATAAGAAACCAACAAGACGATTTCCTCACATAAGTGAGGAAATCGTTTTACCATTAATTTCATGGTACTCGCAGCTAGTATAAAATTAAGTGTAAGTAGATACTTAATACTATGTATTAGATTTTTGACATTCGTTTCTGGGGTTTCCGCTATACATACATAACCTCACGCGGTCACGCCTATCTCCCATGGGGGGTAGGCACGGACAACGAAACGCCAAATGCTACGATTCTTACATACCTTTTTCGCTTCCTCAGTCATCAGTCTTTTTATGCATGTTCGTCGGTTGAAGAGTCGGTTAAACCTATTTTTATTTACGTTCAGGCGTAAGTTATAATAGTAGGGGAGCCCACAATGCTAAATTGGGATTTACTTGAGCGTCCTTGAGACCTACTGGATTTTGAAGATATGCTGATAGAAAGAAGAAATAGTTTAGTGACAATTTCTTCCACCAGTGGGGGAAGGGGGAATCTACAGATCTTTGAAATTGTTAAGCGTAACTTTTGTTCTAATGGTCGAGCGTGTCAGATATTGATAATGTACATGCTCCATGTGTATTTAATAATAAAAAACTCTTAATCTGCCAGTTTGCATGGTGGGGTTGAATGTTCTGGAGAGTACAAACGAGAACCCTTCAAAATCCCCCCACTCTTGCAAATCAAGTTGGAATGGGCAAATTTTTTAAACGCACTTCCTTTAGCACGGTATTGACCTACCTTCCCTTAATCTGACGAAACTGACTTTATTTAGTCAGACTTTTTTTTTAATTTTTAGTCCCCCCCTTCTAATCAGATCGGATATATGTTGGGTATATTCAACATGACACTAGGTTTTCCCCATATGTTAATCTGACGCGCTCGAGTAACTACCGAAATCCCTTCATGGGCTCCCCTACTATAACCAGATTCGCAGAATGTTCGTTCTTTATACCATCTTCAGAGATGATTCGCTCAATCAAATAATATCAAGGTTGAATGACCCAGGATGCACTTGATTTACTTTGAGTATCGTCTCGAGATGCCCCTTCCCTTCCAATCGCATGCATTTCCGTTTATTCTTGAACCTATTAGTCTGTCTGTCTCAGTGGTCAAGCGGTCGTAATTGTAAAATAAACCAAGGGGTTTTGGGTGCGATTTACGGTTGTCAAAAATAACTCGACAATTTTTAGTCACTTAATGATATTGGGTGTTTGTTCTGAAGTGAATGTCTTTTAGCAGTAATCCTAGAGAGGGACGAACTTCCATTGTTGCTTCTAAAGAAATTCACATTAATTATTAGACTTATTCACAGGTTAAATGCATTTAACAAGTGCACCTTAACCTCGGAGTCGCGGAGAACCTAACGGGTAACCGGGGCTCCGGCTCGACGTGCAGGAGAAGGAATGGGGTGGTTTTTAGTCAGTAAGAGTCTGACACTCCCTTCCGCCTCACCCAGGCGGGAGCAGCCATTCGATGATTTTCCCCCCTTAAAAAAAAATCTACTGCTTCGTAGATTTTTTGTGTGTCGTTAGTCGCTCAATCGTAACACAATATCACGTTTTATATCTCCGAAGGGGTAGGCAGAGGTGCACATTATGCCACTGTACAATGTAACACTTACTTTTCACTATTTATGTTATGAGTCCCATATAATAGGAGGTGAGCCTATTGCCATAAACCGGGCACAATTTCAGACTCCGTGCTACTACTGAGATTTTTTCTAAAAACCCACTAGTAGTAGTGGTAGTCGCACTTGTGACCACTCGGCCAACGAGGAAGTCATATTTTTTACGTTTCAGAAGAACCTGTATGTGGTTAAGTTAAAATAAAGGCTTTGACTGTAACTTATGAATTTGTCCATAGGCGGTGATCAACAGTACGATAACAGCGAACATGACCTTCACTAAGACTTCCCAGAAGTTCGGCCAGTGGAGTGATGTTAGAGCCAACACGGTCTACGGACTCGGGTTCGCATCAGAACCGGAGCTTGGCAAGGTGAGTGCTACCAGTTTGATAGTACCAACTCATACCACACGCCCATGTTCAGCTGCAGCGAACTTACTGTGTAACTTTTAAAGATTTAGGTGTTGGAGAGCCATGTTTCGACACGAATGTGCCGGCTCGACCGGAGTGATACCACGGCCTCATACAATAACCGACGTGAAGCAACGCTTGCGTTGTGTTATGTCGTGTGAGTGGGGTTACCGGAGGCCCAATTACCCTCCCCTACCCCAATGTCCCCGATCCCTGAATCCCCAACGATCCTCAACCTTCTAATCCCCAAAAGGCCGGTAACGCTCTTGTAACGCCTCTGGTGTTCCAGGTAGCCATGGGCGACGCCGATTGCTTACCATCAGGTGATCCGTCTGCTCGTTTACCGGCTTATGCCATAAAAAAAAACTAAGATGATGGTGATAATAATGAGGAATTTAAAGTAATCTGAATCCTGCAACAAACAGCGCATTTTTTTATCAATAAGAAGCATGATAATATTATGTTACGGTTCTGCAAAATCTATTTCTTTCTATCACAATCCATCTCCTTTCTAGATATCAACACTCAATACTATACAAAAAACCATATTATTACTAATATTTTACCTTCCTTGCAGTTCATAGAAAAGTTCCAAGAGGTAAAAGAAGCGATTCAAGCGCAACAATGTGGCGCTACTGGTGGCAAATCAGTTACGAACGGTAACAGTGGCGCCGCCACGCCGGTCGCCAGCGCCACCGCCAGCCCACTGCTCGCTGGTAGAGCCACTGGGGGGGATGAGCCACCGCCCGCCGTGTCACCTGCTCAGGCCTTGGTAAGTTCAAATTTTCATGTCGTACCTCCGGTGCTATACCGTCACTTATGTATTGCGGGGGCCCGCGCGCAACTGAACAATGAAACGTTGGTTTTCCTAGTGCCGTCCAGATTAGCGCCAAAACCGTAACGACAGTACACATGCCCTCACAATGTCAGTTTGCTTACTACACAAATGACAATAACGCACCAAGTAAAGAGGTGAATTTGGAGTATTCTTTCATCAATACATAGTATAAAACAAAGTCGCTTTCGCTGTATGTCCGTATGTATGCTTAGATCTTTAAAACTACGCAACGGATTTTGATGCGGTTTTTTTTTAATAGATAGAGTGATTCTTAAGGAAGGTTTGTATGTATATACATATTGCACCCGTGCGAAGCCGGGGCGGGTCGCTAGTAATCAATAAAGATTTGACAAGAATTGCATAAGTGACGATATTGCACCATAGGTGCGATATATCTCATGTTTGTGTATCGCATCTCCTTGTTACTTTCTCAGAGCAATGCGTCTTGTTACTCATTGCTATTGATTTAATATTATTATGCCGCTTAAACTATGCAATACTAGCTAAACTTTATACCGATCTCTTCAACCGTTTTGACATGAAGTAGTAACAAACAAACATACAAATTTTCGCATTCATAATATTGGTATTATAGTAGGATTTGCATTGTTATGATGCTGAACCGTGTACCATGGTTTATTCCATAGTGGGTATAATAAGACATATTATAGTGTACCCTCTGTCGACAAGTAGATGAGACTTGTCCCTGAATCTATATAATGTATCCCTTTGGACAATAACAGGCGAGGTTTTACTCTAGCAAGCAATGCGAATAACACGATATGATAAGCACATAACATGACATGAAATAACATCACGCCATTTGTCCCCGAAGGGGTAGGCAGAGGTGCACATGTACAATGTAACACCCACTTTTCACTATTTGTGTTATGAGTCCCATGTAATAGTGGGTGGGCCTATTACCATATACCGGGCACATTTCCATTTTAAAAACGCAATAATATTTGCCAGACCCGGGAATTGGACCCGAGACCCCTTGCCCGGCAATAGCACTTCACTTCGCACCACTCAGACAACGAGGCAGTATAATAAGCACCTTAGTACCTAAATGATGGTGACAAAATAACGCTTGAAGTAGTATGTTAATGTAATATATTTGTTACAGCCCAAACCAGAGCCTGAAGATATGAACGTTCATCAGAGAGCGCATTCTGTGTCCTCCACTCTACAGGTACGGTTACAGATATTGTACTAACTGAATTAATTATTATTGTGTCAAAATCAGGTCTTTCCTGTGCGCTCTTTTCATTACTGGCTAAAACTTAAACATTGGTCCTTATCTCCTTATCCAAAACGCTGGATCTATCGATTGACAGAAATTCAATACTAGGTGTTGTTTTAAAGCCGCGTCGTTTTCTAGGAGGTAACTCGGAGTCCGAATCAATAAAAAAATTGTAGGTAAATATTTTTATTTTTTCTGTAAGTTACTGAAATCCGTAAGTGCGAAGTACACGCCACCAACTGTAACTAACTTTATAACGCGGCTTAACACACACAAACTCAAACACGTAATTGATATTATTCCTAATTCCATAAAACTCTAATGAGAAACATTGCTGTCGCTTATTTTGAAACACTGTTGAACTTAAACGATTTATTATAGCCGTATTTTTAACTATTGGCGCGAAATTTTTCTCTAACATTGAACCTTTATGACTTCTGTGACATGCCCCCGAGTAATGTCACGGTTTCAAAACTACACCTTGTATATCCAATGTCAATAATAGATCACAACCCAAAGGTGAATTCAATTAAATGAATAGACCAAAATGATTTTTTTTGCAAATTTTCAATCTATTCTCACTCACGATTATGTATAATTTTGTTTACCAATACTACAATGTTTAATTGAATATTCCGTGGAATTAGACTCGTGTCCCTACCGTGAATTATTATTGTACCGCTTCCGACAACGATCAATGATTCGTATCGTAATATCATCAATATCAAGAAATTGTCGTTTGAATATCATATGTTGATTTACAAGTTCGCCAAAAGCTCCCAAACTGCGGCAACTCGATCTACAGTAGATACAACCATGAAAACACCGGAACACTGAAGTCCATACCATATGTTGATTTATTGTGAACTTTCCGCTTATGGATTTAAAGTATATTTTGATCCTGTAGAAAATCTTTGGTTACCTCCCTAAGAAATTAGTTTTCCGAAGGTAAATTTTCCTTCAGATGGATCCTATAGTGTCAGAGCCATTTAAAACAATCCTTTGCTATGTTTATAACATTCGGACAAATCAATGGCGTATATATATTAATCATTTTTAACCGACTTCACAAAAAAAGAAGGAATATTAATCTTAATTAACTAAAAATCGCCGTTTACTCACGTGACGATACTGAGAAAAGCTCTACTCGTTTTGAACCACAGAGGGAATTTTTTTCATGAGCAGCGTGCGCGGTTCAACCGCGATATTTAGTTAATTTAGTATGTCTCACGATAGTTAATATAAAAGCATTATTAATCTTTCTAATTTGTTACGTAAGACATAACATAACATCACGCCTTTTTATCCCCGAAGGGGTAGGCAGAGGTGCACAAATGCCAATGTACAATGTAACACCCACTTTTCACTATTTATGTTACGAGTCCCATGTAATAGGGGGTGAGCCTATTGCCATATACCGGGCACATTTCCAGACTCCGTGCTACTACTGAGATTTTTAAAAACTCAGTAATACTTTGCCCGACCCGGGAATCGAACCCGAGACCCCTTGCCCGGTCGCACTTGCGACCACTCGGCCAACGAGGCAGGCTTTCTAATTTGTTACGTAAGAGAAATAAGTAAACAGCGAATGTTTCTATATTATACTTCAAACAAAAAGGTAAGATTTTCATACCAGAAACATCTTTTGTAACATTCTAACAATGTTCAGTTGACTTCCCCATATTGCATTGTGAAACACTCAACGTCCTGCGTCACCCGGCGTTAACTCGGGAAGTGACAATTGCGTTAAATTGTCAATGTTACATCCTCGCCTTCAATACTGAATGCGATGCAAGTGAATCCCGCTTGACATTGCCATTCTGCAGTAATACTGTTTACTGATTTGCTTTGAGAGCTATGAAATGTTGGATAGTGTAGTTTTTGGTCGAAGTTTAGATAGAAAAAATGATTTTTGAGAGTTTTCTTATAAACCCAAGTTTAGTTGAAGTATAGAATAATTTTGTAGAATTATAGTAACGGCAAACACTAATTGTAAACGTTTTCTTGTAGGGAGGTGGTTACGCCACAGTAGGTCGATCGCCCCGCGGTCCCCTGGCGTCGGCCGGCGCTCCGGCCGTCATCGACCCTCCTCCCGCCGAGTCCTCCGAACAACAGCTGCGGTACGAGAACGACAGACTCAAGCTCGCACTCGCACAGAGGTAAGTTGTGCCACAGTTGCCCCACAGTAGCGCGAGAGTTGCGCGACAGATGAGTGATAGTGGGCCCTGTTTAGAATGGAAAGTGGCTACGCGACAGTGGGGCGAGCTCCGCGCGGTCCGCTGGCGACCGCCGGCCCGCCCGCGGTCATCGACCCGCCGCCCCCCGAGTCCATTGAACAACAGCTGCGCTATGAAAATGACAGGTTGAAGCTGGCACTCGCGCAGAGGTGAGTCGCGCAACAGTTGCCAGATAGTGGCCCGACAGTTGCGCAACCACTACGACCAGAGTGTGGACCGTAGTAGTATTGTTTGGTTTTTGGTTTTTCTGCGTTTTAGAGCGGTTTTTAGACCGCTGGTTGCGATAGAGTTGTTTTAGGTTTCAGCTTGCTTACTAGATTGAAAGGTAAGTTTAAATTATAATTTCGGTTTTCGTTTAATGATTTTATGCTTTCGCAGTTCGGTACCAGCTTGTTTATTAGTTGTAAGTTTGGTTTATAGTAGTAGTTTGTTATGCAGAATTAATACAAGGTTATAACAATAAAAGGTTTATTCAATCGCAAGAGTTTTGTACAACACTTAAAACTACAAAACAGAACAATACAGTCGGGGCTTAACTTAGACGAAATGTTCTAACATTCCGTTGTACTTAACTAATAAATAATTATAATTCGTGAGACACTCGTTACAACACGGTAACCAAAATTGTTGCCTTGTCGGCCGATAGTTGCCCGATTTCATTTTTGTATGAAATTAAAATTAGTTTTTTTTTTCTCTCTTCTATGAGTGAGTACTTTAAATTAATGAAATTCTTATTGAATACAATTATCATCATATGACATGACCTATGTATAAGTCAACACACTAAAAGTAATATTTTCGTCCTTATTATGAGTGCTGTAAGGTCTGATTTCATTGTCGTTTCAGAGTTCAAGTTCTCTCATACACAACCAGAAATGTATTACAGAATACAGTTTTAAATTGACATTCTTAGAATTAAATTATAATAACTTATAGCCTACAAGTATAGCTATATAATTAAAGCATTTAAAAATCATAGTTTGAGCATCGCGAAGCTGTTTGGAGTCAGTCCGTCTTTGTTTAATGAACTAAGGAATTAAAAGGTGTCGAAATCCAATTTATATTAAACTACAGGTTTTATATTAGTAGGATTATGTTCGTTGATATTACAATGCACCACGTCAGCGCACGTATGTAAAATTTTGAACTTTATCTGTTAACAAGTGGAGTTCAAATTCTGTTGTCTCGTATTTCTAAATAACAAAATACTGTCTTTATCTAGGTAAAGTGCCATTATAAAATTAGAACAACTAGTGCTTGTATCTACAAATTGTGCCCTTCTCTGGGTGTAATTATGTATGTTTTTGGACATTGGTCCGCTAGACGTCCACCCTAAAGGTGAATAGACGACTTGATAAATGTCACGGAGATTGATCGAGAAGACATTGGGAGATGCTCTTGTTCAGTGGACTTATTGTAAATGATGTGATAAAATGTATCGAAGAATATCATCGAACAAAATCCTTTATAATTTTTTACCTGTAGCCTAATACATTTTAATGTCCAAATCCCCCAGAAACGGGCACGAAACCTTCATCGAAATGACCGTAATCGTGTTGGTAGTGCAGAGGTTCTAATGCAGGTTTAGCTTCATACTCGTGCACGGGTTTGTGTTCGAACTCGTCGTGTTTGGGCGTTCCTATCTTGTGCACGACCGCGTTGAAGCCGTTCTTGTCGTCAGCTTCGTATTCCACCACGCGTTTTGTGCCGTCCGTCTCGATAAGGGTGTAGGTTCCTGGGGAAAGATGGTGGAATTTTTATTTGGTTTGAGTTCTTTGTTAGATTTTAAAAGTTCTGATCGCGAAATAACTGATTAACAGCAGCCTAGATTAATCTATTTCAGAGCTAAATGTTGTCCAAATCTGTTCAGCTGTTTTGGCATATTTGAGTGACATATTATCCATCGATTTATGCAACTTATACATTATATCAGTATTTTTTTTTCTATTATGTGTTTTTTTTGTGATCGAAGGGCTGGCTACTACCTTGGGCAAAGGTTAAGCATTGCCATTCAACGTGGCAATGCTGCCAGTCTTTTGGGCACCCTACCTCACGGTAGCGATGAGGAAAATGTTTTCTTTGATGCATTATGATATATTTTTATTATTATTATTATTTAAGGTGTAATTTTAAATTATTTATATTTTAATTTATCAATAAATTGGCTGTACATTAAGTACTGAGTTGTGCTCGGAAACATAAACTCATTCTGTAGATATTTACCAGTAACCAGTATTATTAACCTGTTGATTGTCCTATGAATTTGATCGCAATCAGATGTAGCGCAGGCATTCTCTTAAAAACCAACTGTTGAGTCCAATTCACTGAACAATTACTTAACCGATTGTACGCTTAGAATTTAAAACCGATGAAGTTATTTCATTACCTTTGACTTTGTCACCATCTCTGGTCTCCCAATGTTCCTTGTGGTCACCAGTGTGTGGGTCCTTCACGGAGTAGTCGAATGAGTATTTTGGGTGCGCCTGGAAACGGCAAATGGATAATTTAATGGAGAACGGAAATGGGTATGAACTGTGACTTTTTAAACATATTTTATCGGTACATTGTCGTCCATTGTTCCAACAGAACACTTGGAAGTGACTGAGATTGATGCGAGTGTCGTGGCGTGCGAGCATGGGTGGCTCCCCGTCCGACCAGAAACAGACCCGAGCGTACGGCGCATCGCGTTCCGCGCGCGCCTCAAAGAGCCATCAGACCACCACAGATGGGGCCCAATACGGCCGATGCCGATTCGGAGTCGCGGAGAACTTAACAGGTTACCGGGGCTCCGACTCGACGTGCAGAAGAAGGAACGGGGTGGTTTTTAGTCAGTAAGAGTCTGACACTCCCTCCCGCCTCACCCAGGCGGGAGCAGCCATTTGATGATTTTCCCCCTTAAAAAAAAACCCCAAGAGAAAGCTATTCAAAGTTTTAAATAAAAAAATGGTCCTTAACCAATACTAACATGGTAATCCATATCATACTCCTCCCCGTGGTGGTCGTCCAAGCTCTGCTGGTGATGCAGCTGTATGGGCGCCTTGTGGTACCCCTCGTAGCCACCAAACTCCTCGCCGTACTGCGCCACCACTGTAGCTACAACCAGGAACAGGGGGAGTGCTCTCTGGAACGCAGAAAAGAGGTTCTATTAGATTTAGAATACTTTTTACGTCCGCCTTAAGTGCCATGTTTTTGTTTTTGGAGTTTTTTATTATTCCATTGTTTTGTGTACCTACATGAAATTGAAAAGAAAAATAAATTTTGCAAAGAAAAAATTAAGTAAATGCTTTGACCATAAATAAATAAGTCCAGACAAAGTCAAAAGTTCATGATGTGCATCGATTTTCTATAATAAATTGTATAGCGATAGTTTGACCTTTTATGTACTTCGAAAAAGTGGTTTTGAAACATTTTTATGGTGTGGGACCATCTTATATACTTCACATACTAGTTAAAAAATGTTTGAACGTTTAATTTAAACTGAATAATTCTTGTGTTGGATAGTCTATTTATCGAGGAGGCTATAAAACATCACACTACGATCAAAAAGAACCGAGCAAAGCTGGTGAAACCGCGACAGAGTCGCTAGTCTAATCTGAGGGATATTTGACAGAAGTTATTCAATTTTAAATCATCATCATACCATCATGCCTTTTATCCCCGAAGGAGTAGGCAGTGGTGCACATTACGGCACTTAATGCCACTGTACAATGCAACACCCACTGTTCACTATTCATGTATGTTATGAGTCCCATGTAATAGGGGGTCAGCCTATTGCCATATACCGGGAACAAACTAATTTTTTATTAAAATCCCGGTGGTATTTTAAAAAATAATTAAGTATGGGTACCCGGGGGATCGAACCCGAGACCCCTTGCCCGGCAATCGCATTTGCGACCACTCGGCCTACGAGGCAGTTTAATTTTAAACTGTAACAAAATAAACACAAAATCTTAGACAATACTTATTGCAGCTTACAATATGAGTATTCTAAAAAAATCCACAATAAATATAAAACAGCTTTATCTAGAATGTAGTAGTAAGCAATTCACATGATTGAAAAATAAAGTACAACGTGAATGCGAGACGTCGACGCAGTAAAATTTTATTACACGTTTGACATTAGTCTCTCACGATATCCAATCTTCGTGGAAAATTTTATTTCAAAATGGATCTATTCTTGTAGTCTTGCAAGTAAGCACCTTATGGTTTCTTTAGTTATTGTATTCAAGTTTAAAGTAATCGTAAAATATGGCTATGTTTTGTTAATAACAGTTTACGTTAGCGATAGAATAACTATAACACACATGGGTTTATTTCTTTATCACCATATCGGCCTCGATAACCCATTAGGTTATCCGCGGCTCCGTATCGGCATTAGCCCTATTGGGACCCATCCGTGGTGGCCTGGCGTGGTTTCCGTTGGTGGCTTTATGAGGCGCGGGTGGAACGCGACGCGCCGTACGCTCGGGTATTGTTATACCCCTTATATCCAGAAGAGCTATTCAACATTTAATTTTGACAAGACATTTCAAGGTATTGTATTGTGATTTGTCCGTGTCCATACCTGATGTCAGAATTTTTTTTTCAAACTCAAACTCAGTCTTTATTTTTTATTTTAGTTTTTTGTATCATAATCATCCCTTATAGCGACCAGAATAATGAACTTAGGTTCAGTTACATAACATACATAATTCCCCTAGTAAATACTTGTATGGTAACAGTTTATATGTATTTGGAGCGCGCAGTGAAATGTCGAGAAAGTATGGTTATCTTCACAGAACAACTGACAGCGCTGAGCTGCTGAATAAATTGGAAATGACGTGAAAATCTTCACGACAGACATACTGGCTTTGTGCTGTTGGCTAGTGTTATTTAAATATGATTGTTTCAGGCTGGTCTTGAAGTAAAATAAGTTTTGGAGTGGTTGTGTTAAGGACTAGTTTGCGTCGTAAAAAGGTTCTTGGTGGCCTTAACTGGATACAAATGCGAGGAAATTAAATTCGTGGTTTCTATTACATTAAAATTCTCAATATAGACCACAGTAAAATGATAATAGGGCCAAAAAGGTCGCATAGGGATAGGTACCTCACAATGACCGTATATTAGTGATGCTATAGGAGATCACACAAAGCCTAGACCCACCGAAACAACTCGTAATACATTATTAGATCCACGAGACCAGAAAAATCTGCGCTGACAAGATTGAATTCACAACGCGACTTCAGTAACAAGATCTTACTACACAAAAACAATATTCGTCCAATTCCATTATAAAATGTTTTTCCACGGAATAAAATCGATTTCAAGTTATTTCGGTACAACATGCCAATAATCTGTTACAATTTTGTTAAGCTGAAACAATAACTCGATAATCTTCGAGCTTCTTGTCTTAAAGCGAAACGCATTATTGTGATTTAGCGTTAAAATAATTGCGTAAACAATCCGTGTTCCGTGGCCAGTTTCAGGGCTGATACACACTGTAGAGCCAATCGCAGTTCGTCAATATAAGGGACTTTTGAACGTCAAACCTACATCATTGGTCATTCATAAGTTATGCAGTCTAAATTCCTCAACGATAAACAATGAGGGCATTTAGATTAAATAAGAACTTTACTCTTAACGATAATGTAGATCACCCCTTAATATGGCCGCTCGAATAGGGTGCTTGGTTAGGTGCAAAAAAGGGAGGAAATTTTTAGGTGTTGGTTTAAATTTGGAAAGGGAGGAGTTTGATACAGTGATTCGAAACTAGATTTGAACCGGTGAAGGATTCCAGAACATTCTGTTGTAAATTCTGAAACTAAGTTTTGATTCGAAGGGCCGATGGGTCGGTGACTGTCCCAAAGGTATTTCGATAGAATGATTTGTCTAACAGGTAAACGACTTCTAGAATGTGAGTTAAATAGCGTAATTTCATATCGAAAGACCCTTTGGCTCGCTGGCCATTAAATTGACGTATCTACCTATGTATGATAAATGTTTTATCTCAATCTTAAGGCCCAAGGGCCTTAGAAAAAAGAAAGGAGATTATAATGCGATTATTTCTGATAGAAAGGAGAAAAAACGAAGTAATATAGGATAAGGGTAGGTAAAAATAAGATAAAGAAGTCTGAATTTCTACAGTGATAGTATTCGCATCTGATTGTTCCTTTTATGGGATAAGCCCGCAGACGAGGAGACTGATCCGATCTGATCCGCCGATTGCTTACCATCAGGTGATGGTAAGCAATCGGCGTTGCCCATGGACACCCGTATCACCAGAGGCGTGCGTTACCGGCCTTTTAGGGATTAGGATTTGAGGATTGTTGAGGATTCAGGTATTGGTGAGATTGGGGAGGGGGTAATTGGATGTCCGGTAACTTTATTCACACGACGAAACACAACGCCGCGTTGTTTATGTCGGTTTTCTGTGAGGCCCGGTCGAGCCGGCCCCTTCATGCCAAAGCATGGCTGTCCCACACTTGGTATGATTTACCTACATTTTTTTTTTGATAACTTCTAAGTAAATTAATAAAACGACCGTTCTCTATAAAATAAACTACGCACACTATGAGTGTTCACTTTTCGCCCTCGAGAGATATCTCGTTAATATGTCAGCGGTCCACAATACGTACTACTAAAGTCATATAGTTTGATAGTTTGTCCGTATCTGTTACGAAACAATGGACTCGGCTCACTGCTAGTTGAAAATAGTTTTAACTCTGAGAAACTTATTGTTTGATCTGGTCTGTTAGTTTTGATTACTGTCGATTGATATGGACTTTTAGTTTTAATTAAATGAACGCGTTTTTGTTGAAGAAAATGTATTATTTTATTTTGGAACTCTTCCAGCCTGGTTTCCTGGAAGTATCTTCTTTAGGTTATGAGTGTTAAAATTATGGTTTGATTTCTTAACTGCTTGAGTGAGGTATTGAGACCAATTCTGTTTTTTAAGTTAGTCACTTATATAAGTGTATACAAAAGGCTCTCTTTAAGCCCCGATGTGTTAGTAGATATAAATAGAGGTTGTAACCAACTCATTTGTTGCCCGACTATTAATTGAAATCGAGATGAAGCAGTTTTCTTCATCCTGTCTACCACAGCGTGGTAATTGATCCTGTCTTCAAACCTACTTAGACTGACAGATAATGCCTCAAGCGCTCTTAGATCCGGCTAAATAACTACTAAGCTACGCACATAATTGTAGAGCACCGCGTATGAAAGTTGAAAGATGAAAGCGCGTGAGTCTGAACGTAAATACATCTTAATGTCCAACGTGAATTGTTTTTGCGCTCGCTAGTTGGCGCTAGTGAGAGATTAAGTCCTGTTAAACTACTTCAATATTTGGAGTCTGAAGTTGAGAGGTACACAATAGCATATTAAGTTGTGATCAATCAGCACAAGTAATATGAAGCGACTCTATAGATATTAGATATCAATAAATGAGGAAAAGTAAAGACAAATTAAAATTGGGATTTATCTTGTCAGTGGGACGATATCGGTTTGATCCAAAAAATTGAGAAAGTGAAATTAAATAAGGACAACGTAAAGCCACCGCATGCTAGCAATGACCACAAAATATATCCTAAAAGTATCAATATGAAAGGTTTTACGATGTTTACGCATCGGTTAATCCATCACCTACAAACGGTTGAACAGATTTTCATAAAAGGGGTCGTAGCTCGTACTATCCACTCATACGGTCCGTGTCCCAAAATAAAATATGAATGGCTTACCGAGATTCGTACAAAGGCAACCGAACACTAGGCCTTGGATAAAATTCACGACAAACTCATACGTGTTCTAATTTTGTTACACCCACTCATTTTATTAAATCAAACATTGTGTTTCTAGTATATAATTGTGAAACGCGGACGTTCTTACCTGTTCTTCTGTAGAAGTATAATCTAGTCTTTTTAATATGAATTGATCAGCAACAACGGCTTATAGGGCTTTTGGATTATCAGAGTCTACGATAAGTTGAACATTTCTTAAAATTATTTGGAAACAATTAGCACAGATTCGTAAACAGGTTGTCTGAAATTGGCTCTGTACTATTTTAAGAACAGTATGCTAAAGCAACTTGTTTAGAGCGAAATTACAAGCATGTAATAGACTCTCAGTAGACTTCATTACATTTAA